GCGCTCAGCGGCCAGCTTGGCTCCGGGCAGAGCTTTGCAGGGTGTCGGTGGGTTGAGCTGCTGGTATCCAGGGTGGCTGGCTCTGCCAAGGCGGGTAAATGCACCAGCTTTGTGTTGGAGACTCTCTGACTCCCGCCCGTCCCTCGGGGCTGCTCTTTCGGTGACACGGGCCGGCAGCTTTTTATTCTGTTTATTTTACTATATTCTCTGTATTTTATTCGATCTCCACCCGTCCCCCGGGGCCGCACTTTCAGTGGATGGAGCAGCAGAGGCCCCTCGGGGCCGTTCATCGCTCCCTCACACCCCCCGGGGCCGCCCCGGTGCTCCCTCGGTGCAGCTCTTTTAGGTACCAGGCGGCGGAAACCCCTCGGCGCAGATATTTTATTTCATTTATTTTATCCTCTATATTTAATTCTATTTACACAGGGCAGTGTAAAGAAGACCCCCCGGTGGGGTTCTTCACGGCTGTTTTTTTGAAGTCACCCCCCCAGGGCCTCAGTGCCGAGCAAGGCTTTTGGTTTGGTTTCATTGGTTTTACGGATTTGTTGGATTCTGATATTTATTTGTATATTGTATCATTTTCTTGTTGTTATGTGTTTATTTCTACAGCTAATTTATTCCTTGTTTGTCTCTATATTTTATTTATTTATCTATTTCTTTAGAAGTATTTATTTTTATGTTTCTATATTATTTATTTATTTTTATAATTTATTTGGTTGTTTTAAATAATTTTGTCAAGTCATTTATTTGCTTGTTTAATTTATTTATTTGCTTATATAAGTAATCTGTTTTTAAAATTTCAATTCTGTATAATATTTTAATTATTTGTTTTATAATTTTTAATATTTTTATGCAATTTTATTTAATCATAGTTTTATTGATTAGCATATAAATTCCATTCATCTGTTTATATAAGTTCATTTATTTATCATTATATTATATTTGTTTATATAATTTGATGTACTTGTATCTAATTATTTGTTCTATAATTTTAAATATTTCTTTATGTAATTGTATTTATTTGGTCATATTTTATTTATTAGCATCTATAATTCTACTCATTTTTATATAATTTTATTTTGTTTATTAATTTTTATATGTCTACATAGTTTTATTTAATTGTAACCGTTAGCTTATTTAATTTTATTTGATTTTAATTTTGCATTTATATAGTTTTAATTATTAGCATATATAATTTGATTTTTTCAATTATATAATTTATCAGCATAAATAATGTAATGTCTTTGTTTATACAACTTTATTTATATAAGTTGATTTATCTGTTTATATAATTTGATTGAATTTTATATATATAATTTTGTTTCTTTGAATATATAATTTTACTTACTTCTTTAAATATTTTTTTACTTTTTTAATTTAAGCATTAGTTTATTATCTTTGAATTCTTTGCTTGTAATAATTTTTTATATAATTTTAATTATTAGCATATATAACTTCATCTATTGATTTATATATTTTGATTTATTGGCATATATAATCTGTTTTCTTTGTTGATATAATTTTAATTATTTGTTTATTTAATTTATTTCTGTAATTTTATTTATTTATTTCTATAATTGGATTTATCCATTTAAATAATTTTATTTAATTACATATAGAAATTTGTTTCTTTGAATATATAATTTGATGTATTTCTTGATATCTTTTTATTTCTTTGATTTCAATCCTCACTATTCCCTTTTCCCAGCCAGGGTCTCTCTGGTTCCTGGGCCATGTCCGGGGGGGTCATAAAAGCTGATTCCGGAGGGGATTGCCTGGTTTGCAGGGACAGCCCCAAAGGCCACCTTTCCTTTTCCCTTTTCCCTTTTCCCTTTTCCTTTTTTTTTCCCTTTTCCCTTTTCCTTTTTTTTTCCCTTTTCCCTTTTCCCTTCCCCTTCCCCTTTCCCAGCTTGAAAAGGCTGGGAAGGCTCCGGGGGAGCCTCCCCCGTGGCACAGTTGGTTTTCTAGCAGGGACGGAGATCTAGCAGTTTTACCAGAGGGAATATTGGGATTTATTCCCAGAATCGGGAAATATTGACCAGAGGGAAGTCCAAGCCCATATTTACTCCAAGTTTCCCTAAATCCAAGTGTTTCCCGGGAGTGAAATGCTGAGTGCTGACCCACAGATTCTCAGGGCCGGGGATTCTCCAAACTTGGTGTCTCAGTTTACCAAGATTACAACTTTAAAATGAAGACACTTCAGGTGGAAGTGTGGGAAAGGAAAAGAAACAGCTTTTTATTCCCAAAAGCTGAACAAACAACCAACGGTGCCACCAAAACCTTTCCAAAGAAACCAAACCAAGTCCCGAATGCCCAGGTGGGGGAGAAACCCACGGCAAGCCGGGCAGGGGCAGGGGAAAGGCAGGGCTGTGCCGACAGGTCAAAGCTCTCGCAGCCAGCCTGGAAAGGGCCTTTTGTCCCCCAGGCAGTCCCAAAGCAGAACCCCTCGCTCCGAGATGGGTCAGTCTCTCTCTCACTCGTCCTGCGCGAGGTGTCCCGTGGGGAAACAAAACTTCCCGAAAGAGGCGGCTGAAAACCAGGCTCTGCTCCGGGCGGGGCCAGCCAAAACCCCAGAGCCCCGAACAAAGGACTCCCCGCCCTCCCCGCGGCCACCAAGGTGTCCCCAGAGCTGCCCTGTCCCCACTGCCGCTGCCCAGCGCCTGCGGCTCCATCCCCACCCCATCCCAGGACACACGGATGGGGGGAATGGGGGACAACACTGGGAAAACATTCCAGCAGCTCTTTGCAAACCTCTGACACCTGGTTCCCAGACATTCCCAAAGAAGGGGCTTCCTTGAGTGAGGGACCGACCTTTGTATTGAACCAGCTTCTGGAGAGAACCCTTCCCATCCCTGTCCCCATTCCCATTCCTGCTGTCCTCATTCCCATCCCTGTCCTCATTCCCATCCCTGTCCCCATTCCCATTCCTAGTGTCCCCATCCCTGTCCCCATTCTCATTCCTGGTGTCCTCATCCCTGTCCCCATTCCCATTTCTAGTGTCCCTATCCCTGTCCCCATTCCCATTCCTGCTGTTCTGGTCTCTATCCCCATTCTCACTCCCGGGGTTCCCATCTGTGTCCCCATTTCCATTCCTGTCCCCCTTCCCAGTTCCTGCTGTCCCCAGCCTGTTCCCACTGTCCCCATTCCTGTCCACACTGTCCCTATCCTGGTCTCCCATGTCCCTTTTCTCATTGCTGGTCCTGATGTTCCCATTCCCAGACTTTGGTGACTCCAACCTGCTCCCAGTGTCCCCATCCCAGTCCTCCCTGTCCCCATTCCCATTCCTGGTTCCCAGAGAGGAACTGTTGGATGCCAGAGGAGGGAACCAGGATTTACTGCCCAAAGCAGGAGATTTTCACACCACAATTAAAGCCTCAGCAATAATTGTTCCCCTGGGTTTCACACATGGGAAAGTAGGATGTTGATCCATTGGGAAGAGCCGTAGGGAGGCCGGGCTGGGTGGGAGCAGCAGGATGAGCTCTGCCAGCAGCTCCT